TTTTTTTTTTTTTTTGGCCTGGCCGGGGAAATGTCCGCGGGCCACTCTGGTAGCCTAGGATCAAAATAAAAAATAATATGGCCAACTGTAAAATAGTGCATGGCAGGTATAATAAGTGGGAGGCACGTATTCGTTTCGAAATTTAGCATTGTTCTGTACGCTGGGTAGGGACCGATCAGGGCTTATGAATGGTTCTGAGAGTGCTTGGGAGCTGAAAAAATGCTCATCGTGTTTACCTGAGGTCAAATTTACCTGCGGTCGAAATTACCCGAGGGCCAAATTACCTGCGGTCCATTTTTGTTTTTTTTTGTTTTCTGCGGTCCAAATTACCTGCGGTCGAAATTACCTAAGGTCGAATTTTGTTTTGTTCGTTTTGTCTTTTTTTTTCCCCTTTCAACTTGAAGGCAGCAGTAGTTGTTGGTTCTGCTGCTTCTTCTGCTGCAGTTGTGCAGCTGCAGTGGCTTCGGCAGCTGGTGCAGCTGCAGTGGCTTCAGCAGCTGGTGCAGCAGCACCTGCAGACACCCGTGAGCAGCTGCAGCTTATGCGGCGGGTGCATGGTGATGATGATGTGCGTGTGTGTGTGCGCGCATCAGATGGTCTTTTTCCATACAACTTACAAGCATCACCAGCTGTTGATTATGCTGCAGCTACTGCAGAAGCACGTGCAGACAGCAGCTGCACTTGCTGCTGCTCGTGGTGCAACAGCCCGTGCTGCAGGCGCTGTTGTGCCTGCTGCTGCAGCTGCTGCTGTTGCTGCAACTGTTTTTTTCATTTTTCATTTTATTTTTTTATTTAAAATTTATTGAAATGCACGCAGAGTTTTCCCTGGAGGTCCTCCCACGATGTGCAGCAAGGGCCATGTGTCAGAAGACACGTGGCACCTCCACAATGGTGGGAACGGAGATGTCTGGGATCCCAAACACTTGGCCTACCGGACGTCCTGACCAAGTGTCTGGGTCCCAGGCACCTGGCAATGTAGGAAAAAAAAATAATAATAATGCGAACAAAAGGAAAAAGCAATATGTACGAACTTAGGACCTGCAAGAACTATTATTTTGTTTGGGAAAAAAAATGAAAAAAAGAACTATTATTAGCTCTCTGCATATCTGCCGGAGAGTTTGCATTGTCTTAACGAAGAAGAAAGACCTCCGCTGATTTTAATCCACGAAGAAGAAAGACCTCCGCTGATTTTAATCCCCGACAACAACAAAGAAAATGTTTTGTCCAATGGATCCTATTTAATGGCTGTGTCTAATGGCTGCGTCTCCTGAATAGAATGCCCTGTCATTATCACTTTATTAAATAATTAAAGTTTATTTAGACTGAATGACCGGCGTTGTATTCGGTCTTCAAACACACAGCATGGGTGGAGAGAGGCTTGTTGCTATTTTTAGCTTGCTGACTCATTGTGTTATATTTGGGAAGCACTACCTTCTTCAACCAAAGAGAATGCCCAATCATTATCACTGTATCTAAGACTGAATGACGGGCATTGTAATCGGGTTTTCGGAGTGAGCAGTGTGTGGTATCCTTTTAAATTGCCCACTAATTACGCCATCTGTGTGATGCACTACCGCCTTCACCTGAAGCGAACAATGCATAGTGATTATGGCTGTATTTGGGCCAGCGTTTAGTCTAATATCATAGATACAGCGATCGATTCGGGTGAAGTTCTACTTCTGGTGAAGACGGTAGTGGTGCTCACCAACTTTTAGTTCAAAAAAGGCGTCTGCTGGACGAAATTCCACAGGTGGTATCACCCTTTTCCATAGAGGCTCCCACGCAAGACGAGTGCAGCAAAGAATTGACTTTCAAGTTTCAACGTAACACTTCGTTGACGGGTAAGGTAAAAAAAGAAAAAGAAAGGGTAGTCCTCGATGCGATGACTGCACACAACTGTCCCCTTTGTTCATGCCTTTTCTTCTTTTTTTATTAAAGAAAATGGAACGCAGGTAGTTCCTATTATCATGGAAGTGGGCAGGATTGGATCTACTACGCTGTGGGTCTAAGGTTCCTAAGGTGTACTGTTAAGCCGTAAGGCAGGTAAGTGGCCCCCTGGGGTGTGCAAGTTTTTTGGTTGGTTGGTAGGTTAGTGGGTGGTCTTGGGGGGTGGGGTGGGGGGGCAAGGAAACACGATGTCTGGGTGTATCAGGGCAGTCTGCTGGACAGTCAGCCACCTTGTTTCTATGTTGCGTTTCAGGAAGGAAAATGCTCTTAACTTCGGCTCTTTGTGGCCATTTCCTCTTCTGGGACACTGTACAGCCGTCCCTCCGCCGTTCCTTCCCTCTGCTGTCTCTTCCCTTTGCTGTTCTGGGATGAAGTTCATGATGCTGCTTGCTAATTCGCCTTCATTGCACTTTTTTTGTTTTTGTGTGTGTGCCTGTCCGTTTGTGTGTGTGTGTGTGCCTGTCCGTTTGTGTGTGTGCCTGTCCGTGTGTGTGTGTGTGGTGGGGGGGGGGGGGGGGTTGAGGGGGTGTTCTCATGTCTGTGGGCCCCTCTGTTCTTCTGCGTCCTTGTGTTTGTCTGCAAACGTTTGTTTGGGTAGGTTGGCTCCTCCTTTTTGTTTGTTTTTCTGTTCTGTTTTTGGTTCTTTTGTGGGATAAGCCTTTTCGTACTTGTAGCGCCTCGCTCGACCACTATTTATTCGATTGGAAAAAATAATGAGTAGATGGAGAGTTGTCACTCTCGAAAAAAAATGTAGTTTTGGGAGTCCTGACTTGCCGCTGACACTCGACGCCGCCGTTTCTTTTTCCCTCATCATGACAAAGAAAAGAATTCACAGTTGGGTCCCAACTTGCCGCCGACTCTCGAATGTCGAAGCTGGACGAGAGAGAGAGAGGGGGTCCTGGTCCGCCTCTCACCATATGTATGTTTAAAAGACAAAAAAAATATATTATGGCGGTGTATCTTTCCATATTCTAGCGGAAATGTCGTTCTCAATTTGCACAGTTGGTGAGCCAGTGAGGCCCAGGTCCCCCGTTTTTTTAGATTCTGCAGGTTGAGGACTCTCAACTTTTTTTTTTGTCTGGTGACGGTAGAACTACTCTCTATCAAACTTTTCAGAGTTGGCAATTGAGACTTGAGTGGACCGGAGCCCCTCTTTTGGAAATCACGGAGTCGAGAGTGGTGGAGTGAAGGCCCTTGGATGCGTGCAACCATATGCACTGTGTTTTTATTTGCACTGTGTTTTTTATTTGCTGACCTGCTTTCTCAGATAAGTGACAGTGACATCTGTGTGTGTTATTTGGCCAGAAGGAAGGTGCTTTTTCGATGCCTTCGTTGTGCCTGTTCCTTTGTTTTCTCCCTTTTCCTCCTCTGCCTTCCCTGGTCCTTTCTTTTACAGTGCCTGATTCTTCCTGCTCCTTCCTTTTTTGCGGGCCTTACTGCGGAACCGTGTGGGTGTGTTTCGGCTTGTGTAGCGTGTGCGTTCCTCTGCAGAGGCAACAACTGCGGGCTTTTGTTGAACGTTTGTGAAGCTTTTTCCGTTAAATCGTTTTCTTGTTCTCCTTGTTTTCGTTCCCCCCCCCTGCAGGAGTGGTTATCTAAGAACGGACCTTTCGATGCTGTTGTGGATGGAGCGAATGTGGGACTGTTTAATTCGCCTGGCGGGAGGGCTTTCATCTATAAGCAGGTATAGGTGTGTGGTGGGCGTGTCCTGCGTATGTGGTCCGTTTTTGGGTGTCAATTCCCTCTGCCCAAGTTTTGCTCCATCACAGTACAATGATGCACCAAATGTAACTCACGGTTAGTTTTCATGGTTAGTTTTCACGTAGTCGCTGTTGCTTGGCTGTTTGTATCCACTCTCCTGTATTTATTGGCAATTTCACCGAAAGTTGTATGGCAGATTTATTTATTTGATGATTTTTTTTAATGAAAGAGCAACGACCTTTGGCTATCATATTTGAACTGACGGGCCCCAGGTTAAATCAGAGTTATTCTCACTCATCTGATTGCATTTAGATTGGAACTGGTGTGTGCGTTTCATCAGTTCATGGGTGTACCAACTGAGCTAGCGTAGTTGTTGTATGGCAGATTTCAGTCTGCAGCTGAAAGGTTTCTAGTGTCGGAATGCGTGTGTTGTGCAGTGTATAGCTGTGCGTGGACTAGCAATGCTGAGGTGCTTGAGAGCCGTTGGTGGAGTAGACAGCAAGTTCTAGGAAAGGGGAAGGAGGGGTGCCATTTGCTTGCATGTTGTCCCTCCCCCCCTCAGCCACCTCTCCCCTTCCCTCGCGCCCTTATGGGTTTTGGTTATGTGGGGGCCTTGAGACCCTCAGGGCTGTTCCTTTGCGAAGGAGGTAAGGGGGCATAGGACCGTGGCGTGGCAAGTCGCGTTTTTGTTGCCGACTATATGATGTGGGCGGTGTGTGGGAGCCCGCTATGTGTTCTAGGAGGCTGGGATCAAGCACATAGGGTCTCGCCGCACTACTTGCCAAACACCAATATTCTGAATGTATCTGAACCTGACGGTGATCCCGAGACACTAAAAAATGTTGGTGATTTGGCGAGTGGTGCGGCGAGCCACCATAGGTGGTGCGAAGAAGCATTCTCCTGGAATGCCGCTGAAAAAGCGTTTGTGTAGAATTGGGAGATTGCTTTGCTGTGGGGAGGAAAGGAAAGAAGAAGTGAAGGTTAGACCACGAGTACTTCTGAGGCACTTTTCTCTTGGGCTGACAACGCACCATGTGGCAAAAAAAAAAAAGAGCCGGCACGGGCCTCCTTTTGGCTGGCGCTGCCAGCGATTTTGCTCCAGTGGCCGAGCCACGAAAGTTGCGGCAGCATGCAAGCCTCAACTTGGAAAAAATGGCCGGGAAACGTACTGGTAGTTTAAAGCAGAAGTGAAGTGGTTGAGCAGGCGGGGAACTGTCTCGCGTCTGGCCCTGCATTTCTTGATCTGTGCATATCGTCCTTGCCGGTTTCAATTTTAATGGATGTCCTGAAGGACCGATACACCCCTGTGTCAGTGACGCAGACAACTAACATGGCAGTACCTGAAAGCAAAGACAGAAAGAAATAAGAAAACTTAGAAGGAGGCTGAGCTGGCACAGCTCTACGGGTGTGCTGGCCAGTAAAGAAAGTAAGTGGAACATATAAGTCAAATAAGCAGGGAAGGGAATCTGTCATGTCTTTCCCGTTTGCCAGCATTACATGATATTCAGACCATTTCTTGATTTATGCCTGTCATCCTTGCTGCAGGGTTACACTCATCTTCTCTGTACCGTTCCAATTTTGACGGATGTCTTTAAGGACCAATACACCATGTTTTTTTCGTTCATGCAGGCAAGCAATATGACAAAAGGTGAAAAAAAAAAAAAAAAAAAAAGAAAGGCAAAAAGCCTGAGCTGGCAAAGCTCTATGGCTGTGCTGGCGAGGAAACAGAAGAAAGCTGGTGGAACGTAGAAGTGGAAGGGGAAGAGCAGGCAGGTTATCACATGGCTTCCCCTTTCGCCCGTGTCCCCCATGTTTCTGTCATAGAGTGGACTGCTTGGTGTCTGTCATGTGTCTCTGGCCCAACTCCGCCATGTGTCTCTGGCCCTACTCTGCCATGTGGCTCTGGTCCTACTCTGCTATGTGAACCTAAGGCTGTGTCAGGGTCCACATGATAATGACTACAGGCTGTAAATAGCCAGTATGACATGTTCACTGTAGGTCTAGACATTGATTCTTTTTTGGAGTCCATCGGAGCTTCAGAGTTCTCTCCAGCTGGTGGTCTATTTGCTGGGAAACCCTATGAATATTGGACGTCAACCTGTTGACACCCGCAGCTCAATCTTAAACCACGCGTCCCAACGACCCTGTTTGTATGAGCGCCCTCCCCCCGGCCTGCTCGGCATTGGCGTTGCTTAAACACCACTGGCCCTGAATCTAGGAAACTTCATTCTTCTCCAACCTGGAGTCGTGAATCATTATGGGGCCTACTGGGAGCAGCAGGCACATGTGATGCAGTGGGCCAAACTGACTTGTTATGGCCCTGTCGTATACACATGTGACCTTGGAAAGGCATGTGCGCCCTCCCCCACCTGCCCTCCAAAAAAAAAAAAAAAAGATGAAAAAACAGCCCATAGAATTCAGATAAGCGACCTTGTCTACCTCAGTGTCGTGCTCCGAGATCTGAACCAGGTCTGAACCCCAGCTCTAACACCTTAAGCTCTGTATGTGTGTGTGTGCCTGCATGTCTCAGCAAGTTTTGTCCTAATCCCCCCCCCTCTGAAAGAGAAAGCTAGAAAACAAAAGGAAAAAGGAAGGCCTGTAAAATTCAGACAGCGCGATGGAACTTGTTCGAGGGGAAGTATTGGAGGGCGACAGGGGAAAGACTGGGAGTAAGACTAGGAAGACTCCATATGTAGGAAGCAGGAGACTCGTACTAGTGACGTTGGTGCTGCTTGTTTTTTGTGGTTGTTCGAGTAGCTGTGAGCAAGTTTGGGTTTTGCGGTCTGAGAGGCTGCTAGGAGGGCCTCCTCGACGCCTTGCCTCTCCTGAAACTGTTCTGCTGCTTGACTGGGTGCTGCCAGTAAGCTTCCCGGCCAGCAGAGTCTGGCAGGAAGGCTATGGTATAGGGGGGGGTGGTCGGCTCGAGGCAGCCCCCCCCCTTGAGTAGGTGACTCGTACCGCAAGGGTACGGCTAAGCACCTCAAGCTCTGTATCTGCGCACGTGTGTGTGTGTGTGTGTGTGTGTGTGTGTGTGTG